ACTCCAAGATGATGAAAGTTGAACCCTGGCGAGAGACAGGGGGTGGTGATCGGCCCAAGAAATTCGACCCGACGGATCAGAATGAGAGCTCTGGTGCAAGGCGCTGTGAGCGACCAGCGAACGAGGATTCTCCTCGACACGGGAGCGAACGTTAGTGTGATCACTGACGCCTTTGCTAAGAAGCTGCGACTCCGAGATGTACCCCGATCATGGACGCCGCATTGACATTCAAGGTATTAGCGAAGGCAAGGTGTGGTGTAGTGATTTCTCCGTAGTTGCGGATTATCACCCGTCGACAAAGACGTGACACCGCCCAAGATGTTCAAGCGACGAACCCTCGGTCAGGTGATGTACGGAGACGCCAAGGTGCCAAGGACTCGACGGCGTCACCTCCGAGTTTTCAACAAGTATCGGATACGGCCCTATGTCACTGAATCCAGGCTGTCCTTATTATTAATAATGGACTGGCCGGATTCGCATTCAGCGGACCATCTACGGTACGAACCCTCAGTGGCGGTTGGGATGAGCTCGCGGAATACTCAGCGACCTTTGGAAGGCACGTTCACCGTCTGGGACAGGGCGCGGACCGTTAAAGATGCTCATGCGACGGTGCAGACGACGCTTGGCATGCAAGAAGATCCATAACGGATCATTGTTCACTTGGTATTTGTATACTTGATTAGGACTTCTTATTAGGAATAGACCCGAAAGGGTAAGCTTAAATACAGAACAGAATTTCCACTCAAGCACACAGAGCGACGTCCGGCTTCAAGGTAAGCGTCAGGTCAAGCTTGTTTGAGTGTGTTATGCCTGTCGGTGAACTCGAAGCTCTGTAGCGAGGGTTCATCCGGCAAGGCCAAGAGACTTTGTGTATTGGCCGATTATTATCGGGAGGTTTTACGTGACGGCTTATTGTTGCCTATTTGCACGACTGGGAGTGCTTGAATTGCCTCCCTTTTATTTCTTCTGGCCGAGTGTTGAACACTCGGTGATCTCGTAAAAGGCTTACCCGTGCCTGGTACCCTTTTGCTGTTGGGACCACGAGGATTCAAAACACCTGCTAGCTTTGCTCATGCTAGTAGCGTGTTCTTATTTTACTGGTTGGCCTATATAAGTAGTTTACAAGGTCCAGTTTGTCCCGGTGCAAGGGCAGAACTGGGGTCTTCAGGTCCGCCCGAACGATCGTTTACTATCCTAGTAGACATATTGTTGTGGGAACATCCTAACTACATCTGTAGCTAGAGTTCACGTGGGATTTCCAACACCACAACTGGTGCCGCGACCCGGGAACAGATTGTGACCATTGTGAACTGTTTGTATGGCCTTCCAGTTTACGAGCTACCAAGAGAAGAAGAACAAGAAAAAGACAAGAAATATGGCGAAAGGACAACCGACGGTACCAGTTACGCCTGCCAAGTCTGGCGGGGCTCGCAACGAGAGTTCAAGCCCGGCTGCGCGCTTTGCAGCCGCCACCGAGCTTTCAGTGAGCTTCGACGACGAAGCGGACATCGGTCCTGACGCCCACGATTATGAAGATTACGAAGATAAGACGCCGGCTCCAGAGCCAGGCGCAGCGACGCCGGAGACGGCCACGCTATTATCGGGGCTGAGCGGGGCGACCAAGTCCCTTTCGAGGAACCTCGCCGACGAGCTCGATGATGTTGCGGGACCGGAACCGGCCTATGATGATTATAACGATGGGACCGAGGGTTTTAAACCTTCGGTGGCGAGTGCAAAGCAGTCAGCACTGCTAAAGGCACCTCGCCCACCTATCAACGGTGATACACCAGCCGCCAAGCGCGTTTTCGACCGCGTACAAGCGCCGTTCCGGAATATTGTGTAAGCCAATACCAAAGGCAAGCGAGAGCCCCACCGAGGAGTTCTGGATTGATCCGAGCGTATGTAGCGATCCCTCGGGGACATTGTGAATGCCAATGCCAG